TAATATAGATCTGCCCAGAAAAAGGATTAATCATATATCCCAATATATTTCTAAAAAAGATCAAGAAATAATCAGATTATAAAATATGAGATTCTATATCTATTATAATACGAAAGATCTATAAATCTATCTATAATAATATATCTTTATTCTCATCTTTTGAAATAATCATAGCATAAAAAATATCTTCAAGTAATTCTAAGGCAAATAGCTCTAATAAAAATAAGATATCTATATAATATATCTGTTCAATCTGAATTTAATGAAATATATGCCAAAAAAATTGAATTATCAACATTCGATAATTTTTAATATATATTCTTGAAATTATATTATTATTCAAAAATTCATATAGAAAATTACTAATTACCGAATAAATATTTATGAAATAATATATATAATCACGAAACAAGAAAGAAGAGGCAAGAGATAAGATTAAAAAAGATTCGCTAGGAATCAAAGAAGAAGAGGCTAAATTTCGAGAGAATAGATAAAGGATAGGAATTCAGAAAGAAATAATAAGAGATTTGAATGAATTCAGAAAGAAATAGTAAGAGATAAGAATTGAAAAAGAAATAACAAGAAATAAGAATTGAGTAAGAATAGAGAGGAACTATGAAATTTTGGAAAAATATAGGCAAAGATGAAATATTAAGCAAGAATAAATATATAATATATTCGAACAGATTAGAAGCCGTCTTTAAATGTATCTAAATTAAAAAAAAAGGGAAATCATAATTATCCAATAGTATATAATATTTATATAAATTTCAATCTATATATACCATCTCTTCTATAGATAAGAAAAGGATTTTCAAAACAAGAATTTTTCCGTTTTAACCAACATTTAGAAAAAAATCAATTTGTATAAATTGTATTTCTAATTTCAATATCAAAAGCCCATGATTAAACGAAATTCTAAATAAGAAATTCCTTCCTCTTGCCAATATAAAATCCCAATAATTCAATATTCGTACGAAATTATACATAAAGAAATATTCCAATGTATTTAATTTCGCCGCCTAATCCTTTTCTCGAAATTATTTCATAAAACCCATTTTTCGCCTCCATAGTTTCGACCCACCACCCCTATCCTTCTCATTCCAACGTATCTCGTTTCTCCTCTTTTCCCTTCGCCCCTCTCATTTCTAAACGCTCCCCTAGCTCCCCTGTTCCACCCGCTCTCCCCCTCTCCATCTTACCCCTCCTCCTTCACTAAATTTCAAAACTATATATCCAAAAAAGCTAACGCTCCATAAAAATCTCATAGACTCTAATTAGAAATATCTGCAAGTATCGAAAATAATGAAAATAGAATAAACATGTTTTAGATTTGGAAGAATTCTAAATATAACTCCCATAGAGAAACCCAGAAGGGGAAATCTACGATCTCTATAAAATCTTGTATATAAGAACGATAAATTAGTTTCACTCATGTGTTCTTACTCCAAGGGCGATCTGTATCACGCCAACAGCCAGATCTCCGTTAACGATAGCAGAGCGGAAGTATATTGGGGATAGGTTTGGGGAATAAATAAGTCTGTCCTTCTGCATAACCCGTGAAAGCCCTTCAGCATCAAACCTCTCTTCTCGATCGAATATGGCGCATTTGCAGTGGTTGAAGCAATCCAACAGCATTTCAGGTGCTGGACTCATCACGCAGCACTCACAGGCACGTTGCCGGCAAGACAAGAAGCGCGACATGTCTCGAGTGTCTTTCAAACACGGAAACATGCGGCAAAGCGGTGAGGGACGCGCTGGGCGTCAGCGACTACAAAGTTCAGATCTCGATTGCAACAAACCCAGTATGCGGAATCTGTCTTCACTGAGCGGTTTAAGTTGTTAAGGCAAGGAAAATTTCCCGTATCTTCGACATTTCGTGGAGCAACTGCTGCTTCCAAGAAGGAGCGCATGAATCCAGCATTTCGGTGGACCAGGTTCTGGTGAAGGTACAGCGCACACGAGAAAGTAAGCAGCAAGATGCCTGCTCACTCACTCTCATCTTCGTCAGAGTCCTCGCTCTCATCCTTCCCACAGACACTTCTCCCGCACAACAACAAAGGACAGGTGCTACGGGGCCTGCTGGAGTTGGTAGGTCATGCTCTTGTTGCTCTCCAAGGCCTGCCAGGCCAGTCTGAAGCTCTAACAAGCCTAGCGGCTAGGCCTAGCGGCCTGCTTCCTAGCGGAGTGGCGGGAACCTGGCCTTCATACGCGTGCTCTTGATGTGGAAGCCACTAGCGATGATGGCGATGATGCCTCGCCATAGGACGGTTGCCGAGGAGTGCAGCTTGACAGGCAAACTTTTGCTTCAATCTGCATGCTGTTGTAATTCTGCTTTGGAGAGTTTGTCCTCCGGGTCGGGTATGAGGGGTTAGAGACTTCTCAGAGTTCTCTCCCTGCAACATTTACAAGGAAGAAAACGGACGACCAGAAGACGGCTATCAGCACTCGATCCACAGCCAAATCAAAGGTTCGAAATCCAGGTAAATGGCACATCCTTGACAGCAAATTATGCATCCTGGTGAAAAAAGTTTCTGGAAATCGCGAACGAGTGGCCAACCGCGATGCTGACAAAGCCTGTTGCCACGCCCAGCTTCCCACAGTAGCCGATGTTTGCAAAGAATGCCTGAATGATCCTCAGCATCGTGTCACCGCAGGTCGAAGCTGCATGTGTTGCAAAATGGGGCGTATGCAAAAAGATGCCGTGCTGAAGGAAGTTCTTTGGGAATCCGACCACCTTGCAATTCAGGCTGCCGAGACAAGACAGGGCCATTTACGGCAGAAAACAACATGCACTTCAGAATGCAGCTCGTGGCCTCCATCATCATAGGGTAGTACATCAAGGTGCCTGCCACACCCACCTTAATGTCTGCAGATGACGGGCCAGGAATGCAAAAATCTAATGGAATGAGGCAGCTGCGAAAAATGGAACCCAGACCGGAATTCCAACCTGCGAGAAGACCAGAAACGCTTATGAATGAGCAGTCAAACTCGTCTGACACTGTCATGTAAGGCCCAGAACCATGCCCCAGTTGTTCGACCAGGTGGAGTTGCAATCAACCCAGTATGTGTACCTTCCAGAGTCTTGGCATGGCTGAGCCACTCAGCTCTGTCAGAACACTCACGCGCCATCCCAAACAATAATGCAGCGAAGACTTCTGGAGCGGGAGCATGGGGGCACTCGTCCGGATTCTCGAAGTAGCATTCTTCGAACTTCAGCTTGAAGGACGGGAAATGCCACTGCAGCGTGATGCAGCTTCAACTTCCAACAAAAGTTGAGGCACACATGCTTTTCTAACCTGTTCTATAAGTGCATGTCACCAAGCAAGACAGGTCGAATGGCACATAGAGATAGATCGACCCGATAAGTACGGTCACCACTGAGGTGGCGGATGCCACGGCGGCAAGGATGTCACCTCCCAGGCGATGAAAACAACTGTCAGTTCGGGAGTCAGAACAACAGGCACCTGCTCTCTCTCTACCTCTTGCCATGGATGGCTGCCGCGACCTGCCGTGTCCGCTGTATCGACAACAGACCGGTCTTGCCAATATGTTGCAGCTGAGTCGCGGGTCCACGAACCGCCCGTATCACGCGTAGGTTGGAGGCAACGAGCCGATAAGCTTCTGACAGCTATCCGAATGAAGCCGGGAATGGAGTACATCTGCAATTCCTGCCCTGCACATGCAAGACCGTAGTCAGGACACTTTTGGTGTACACGCCTTCAAAAAGCTGTGCCGCCAGGAACGGCAAGCGGCAAGCTGACATGTCACCTGGAGAGCTGCATGGAGCCTTGCCAGCTCATCAAAGCTCATCATCTGTCAGCATCTACGCCATGGACCGGTGCTTTTACCAGCCGGTGTGCACACAACGTTGTCCCGGCTCTGGTCTGTTGAAAATGCGATGACCACGAACCACACATGTGACAAGGTGTAAACTGTAAACCATTGGTGCGAGAACGTTCCGCAGCAGCCGCTCCCCAGCTGTGACTCTGCTACACGACCATGCTATTTTGACATGGGATAGTCCATAACTCCATAACTGGTGCATCGTGGAAACTCCCAGAAACGCTGATCATCTGATAGAGCCACCGCACAGCAAAACGGGGGACTAGCTAAGCGAAGTTCAGGCATGGACCAGACTGAGCACGCGCTCCAGCATCCTGACTTTCCCAAAGGCGCACAAATCGATGCGCGAAGCGCGCATGGCTGTGCCCAGGCCAGGCCTTGTGTCCGGGGTTCGGCCTTTGGAGCCGGCCGCATAGGTCTTCACCAGCTTCTGCCTGGCAGCCAAGGGGGGGTCCAAGCGTGATCAGCGGCGTGCTTGAGGGCAGTCCTCATGGCAGGCGCCACTTCCCAATCATCTTGAAACCTTCAGACACGGACAAGAAAGGCATCAAAAAGCTCTGCAGATCCTCCATACACAGCATGACAGAAGGAATCGAAATGGCCAAACTGAGACCACAACTCGACACCAGTTGACAGGCCAAAAGCCGCTAACAACTCCAACCTGGACAGGCGGCATCTGTAAAAGGCTTCAGGGCAAAACGTCACATGAAAGCACGACTAATGATGCACTGCAGAGACCGAAGGACGGTCCGAAGCTTCACCGCTTGGGACGGCCGCTTGCCCTCTTCTTGGGCAGCTGCGATGTGAGTTCTCGACTTTTCTAAACTTGCTGGGATGTACGTACTAGAAAGGCACTCTTACTGGACGAAGTTCATCAAACCTCCAGAAACTGCCTGTCATGACAGCGTCAACTGCAGTACTAGAGCTAGAAGCTAGAAGAAGCTTTGCAGATGCTCTTTCTTGGTTCACTCCGCGTTGCGTAGAGCACACCATGCTTTTAGATCCAAGCTTGGAGCAGCTGCACATATGCTGGTCTACCGTCGCAGTGCGACTTTTGCTGTCTGGATTTCGAGCCATCTCTCGACACGAGATCAAATGAACCGGTTAGCTCGCTGGAGCGTTCCAGGCACCCCACCTTTGCATCTGATCAACTGCAGCAGCCTCGTTCTCCTGCCAGAAGCAGCCATCAAATGCGCCTCAAGCAACGAACGGTCTGCAGCTGTCTGCAGCTCCTGCAACAAGTCTCCCGAAGCGTTGACCTGCACGGAGCTGCTGCGGGCCATTATCACGTGGTTCCATTGCCAGTTGAAGAACGCTTCACTAGGCGCGCTGCCAAGCAGGATCGACATCGGCTCTTGATCAAATCTTGCATCTCCGACATGGCCTTTGAGTCAGGTACATCTCAGAACAAGTGCTCACTCAGCATCACATCACATGCCTCCTTCTCCGCGAGGCCAAATGCCTCTCTGGAGGCTTCAATGCCATCCACCTCGCTACTAAGACGGATATGTTTCTCCGGCGGACGGTGACCTCAACTCTGCCATGACCGTCTTGTCTTGCCTTCTGCTCGTCGCTGAGATCGGGATCCTGTGGGTCTAGTCGCACACAAGGTCATGTGGCTGGTTGACACACAGCATGTTACATGCCACTACATACATGTAGTGTCCGACGGGAAGTGAACAAGCGCTTCGCACTGACTCTGTCCTCGACCACCGATGCAACCTCTACCCTGAACAGTGACCTGATCAAAGGAATGCTAGCAACGACTTCCTCCACGGCTGCGAGCAGCAATCGATTTCGTCGAAGCTTGAGGGCCGCACCGGAGTTGAGGTCTAGAAAGCTCCAAGTCTTTGGCCACTTCCAGGTCCCATTCGTCCACCTCGCCCATGCAACAGATTGGACCCCCTCGACATCACTGTAGTGACATGCTTTTTTATGCTGATACATGTGCCTTCGTGCAATGAAAACTTTTTGCACACTCAGCAATGTTCATCGTTCGGAGTACTTGCTGTAATGTTAACAAGTCTCTGGGTCTCGAGGCTTGAGCCGTTTGAGACCTGGAGGCTACTGCGCATTGCAAGCAACACCCCCGCCCCTCTGACCGGAAACCCTGACGAGGAAGTCAGATCAATCGGATGAGCTTCTGGCTTCGGCTCGAAGCTTGCTCAGATCCTCCGGTGTCACCGAAGGCTTGTTCAGAATCTTCAGCACCTGCAGGATTAGAAATGCAGCAGGATTGAGTCTGGCGGCCATCAAACTGATGAGCTTCTGATGCGAACGCTCTGCACTCGTTCTCGAGACACTAGACACTAGTCTGAACCGCCGTCAGCCTTGTTCTGAAGCAGGCTCTTGTTGGCAGCCTGCCAAACCCGGCAACTCAGTGTGCGGCTCGTTCTACTCACAGCGCATGCAACTACAGCCCGTACATCCTCTGCCGCCTTTTTCAACGGATGATACGAGACGCCGCCGTCTCAGGCACGAGGCATGCTAATTGCGTTATCGCTGCATGGCAGGCAGCCTGGAGTGAAACAGTGCAGCCAGGTCAGATTCCTCGACTGTACAAGGTTTGTATCTGACGACTCGGCTGAACAAAGCTATTTGCCCTCACGGGGCTCTGCTTATGAAATACGATGCGAGTCGGCCATCACTTACTTCACTATATGGACCGGCTCCATCAGCGGAACCAGTTGGTGCATGTACACACAGGCCCACCTTACCACACCAGAGCTTCGCAACAGCCAGAGCCCCTGAACCGAGATGACCGAGGAGGCCACATGAGCCACATGCAAAATGTCGATATCCAAACCTGCGAAGGGACTACACAACTGCTGTGCAAGTGAACCAATCGCTCTTGTGGAGCTCAGCACCGGGCCACTACTAGCCCAAGGCTTCTGCTTTCTTTCCTCCTTGGACAAGTCTTGTACAGCTCATCGGAATCAATCATCCCGCAGCTAGCCGCGGCTCTGCATGACAAAATGCGTTATGTTCGGAGTCTCGACAGTGAAGAACATGGAAGCAACCTTTGACAGCGAGAAAGCAGCGCGCATCCTATGAGCAGCCACAGACCTCTAATGTGACCGAACGGCACAGCTGGCACAAATGCCCAGCACGACGAATGCGAACGTGCCTCACGGCGGGCCATGCACGATCTGCGATGTACAATAGCCAGTGGCCCGAGAGCCAGACCAGTCTGCAGACCAGGTGCCATGAAGCCCTCGGCTCACAACTTAGATCCTGAAACCTGCGACTCGCCTGAGACTCTGGATGGACGCAAGTCAGAGGATTCCGAGTCTACCTAAGCTTGCGCATTCCTGCTGCAGGGAATGTTGCAAGTTGCATCCTCTCTCGGGTGGTGCTCTTGTTGACTGGACCCTCCAGCTTGTCCCCTTTTTGAACCGAACCCTTCCCAAAGATGGAGACTGAGCCAAGAGCGACGGAGCCCTGAAGCTCAGCCATTCCTGCAGGCCTTGAAAGAGCTCAACGGAGATTCTCTTTCAGAATAAGGAACATGAGAGCACTTCGATGGAAGCATGTCTCAAGTTAGACTCGAATGTCCTGCACACTCGGTACATCTCGGTGCTTTCACGATTCGTGCCCCACACGCCAGGGCGAGCAAGTATTTCCACAACTGGACATGCCCAGAATGCCAGGGCTCTCGCGGTTGCTGTCCAACAGGCACGCCTGCAAACGCTCCGAGCAGCTCTTGCCTTCCACGAAATGTCGAGTAAATGTTCCTTGCTGTGAGACGCTGTGCCTTTCTCCTTGAGCCGAGATGAATACGGGAAGCACATCAGACTCCGACAGAGCATAGAGCATACACGTGGCTTGTGCGGCACACCTGCCTGGACCATGTCCATGGTCACATCTTTCTCTATTCCGAAGAACATGGGTGCCTCGACACAGAAGGCAAACAGTTTGGCACGGCACAACGGCACAAATGACTGCGACGAGCTACTGGCAGGACCAGACTATAGATGGCGGCAACCATACAGAATGACAGAGACGGTTCATTCTGGAGTTGGTTACTCCAGTGCCACTGGGGGCCCACTGGCTAGTCCGAACGCAGGTACGTCTGGCTGATCAGGCCAGATATCACCACACACTGACAGTGTCTTCGTTGGGCAGTGACTGTCGGGCATGCACTGCCCCCCTGCAGCAAAATGGTTCTCTCACTCAAAGGTCACCATGTCCAGGCGTGCACACACACACACACACCACACACATGTAGATCCCGGTCGGCGCCGGTTGTCGTCAATCTTCTGCAGTCCATCCTTCTCATCTCGTTTCTCATCTTGCATATAAACTAAACGAGCTTGTGATGCCTGAGTAAAGATCAAGATTGTCAAATTTGGATGCAATGCAAGACTTTGCATGTTTGCAAGAACCTCAAGCACCCACTTCTATGTATAAATCTCTTCAGCAAGCGAAACTTCGGCAGGTACAGAGCTATGCGTCCATAGCTGCTTCCACCTATTCCGCTAGCTTCGTTGGCTGGCATCACGAATAGGCTGCCAGCCCCCTGCTCTCTTGATCGGCTTTGCATCCAGATATATATATATATGAGAACATCCGACTCACTATCCTTAGGAACAGGGGTGTCACGCGCACACACACACACACACACACTCTTACTTTCGTCATCGAACTTGTGACCAGGGTAACGAGCTGCGCAGACTGCGCTTAAGGTAGCTGGGTCCATGACCCAATCCGTGAGCATGGAAACGTCGTCCTTTTTGAGCTCCCCTTGCTCCTCAAGAGAGGCGCACTGAGCTTGATTTGCGGAGTGGCTCAGCCGGTCACGAGTCGCTCCTGCACCTTGCTCTTGATGAACATGTTGCCTGCAAGGTGCTGTACACTGAGGCTCCAGGCTTGATGCCGGGGGGTCATCTCGCGTCTGACAGGTCAAGGCCGAGTGGCACCATCTTGACACCATTCGAACCAGCACCTGCTATGGAAAGCCACATTCAGAAGTTTGCGACACCACGGCGAACTCTCGGAGAAATCAAGGCCTTTTGCTGCACCTTCGGGCCTGACCATGTCTGCTCCGGGCTGAAGGTGCGGCAGAAAGCTTTCGATTCCGAAGAGCAACAAAAACCACCGGCAACATCTTGAGGCGCGCACTGAGCCCCAGAATACCACCAATCACCGCCTTCGCTGCAGTCCACTTGTCCCGTGCGGCGGTGTCCTGGTTCGACCCATGGGAAGGAAAGCAGAAAGTTGACAAACATGGGTGGGGCCACAGCCCTTCCCTACCACCTTGCCACTAAAACACGACCTCTGCTTGCACCCAAGTGAATACTGCTCGGGATGTGTTAGGTCCGCGGTAAACACGAGAACGCACAGAGCTTTTTGATCCCTCCCACGCAGTAACGAGTTTGCCAGGCTCACTCCGTAGGCAGCTCCCACCTCTTGAGCGGATTCATGCCAAATTGCCAAGGGCTTGCATTACAAACTCGGGTGCAGGCTCTTCGTTGTCGATCGCCTCCTGCAGTGCCTGCAAGTGTCCCGAACGGTCAAGTCCGTCTGTGAGATCCTAGGGCCCAGTCCTGGCAGTCTCTGAGGTTCTAACAATTGGCTTCTGGCCGTCGACGGTGCAACCGACAGCGAAGCAGGTGCCAAGGATTTCCTTGGCTGTGCCCTTGAACTCCTGGCCAGAGAACACACATGGAGCCAACCATGCGTGCCATCATACGTTATGATATGATATCACTTGATTTCCTGCTCAACCGTGTGCCGAACAGCGACTTGCAGACACTATGACTCTTCGACTCTTCACAGCAATCCTTGGCCAAGCTCTTGTATCGCATCTGTCGGCAAATGTCCAGGAACACGTTCTGGGCAGGGCAAAGCTTACGCTGACGCACCAAACAAGCTCTGCAGCAGGGCGGCCTTGGTCAGGTTTCCGCCTTAGGTGGAAGAAGTCAACCGTTCCATCGCTACGAAAATCTGTGGGGGGCGTGCTGTGCTTGATGTTCTTGGTCTTTTTGCGATCACGGAGTGGCTCCTTCAGAGCCTTCCAGCGCAGCGTCCGAGCCCTTCCACTTTTGATAGACCGAGGACTGACTGCCTTGATGACGAGACTGGTGGCATTCGGCTCCACATCGACTTTGGCTGCCCGGTTCTGGATTGTCAGCTTCACTGTCACCCGGATGCCCTGAGGTTCAGTGCAGCACAATGACCGCCAAGCAAGACCCTGAACGAAAGCCTTCCACTGGCTGGTGCCCTTCACGATGTCATCACCTACCTTCCACGGAAGACACGTCCAAAACGTCAGATCGGACGGTCAAATGTCCAAGCCCACCTTCTTGGGAGACATACCAAGAGGACCCACTTTGGGTGCCAGCACTGAAGATGGTGCCTGACCCCACATCCGTTTGCAATAAGCCGCTTCCTGACCACTAGAGTATTATGTGCCAACTCTGCAGAATCACGTGAAGGAAGACGCGGATTGCTTGTTACTTTTTTGTTGCTAGCTGACCTGCTTAGGCGAGGCTTCGATTCTTATTTTGCTTGGTTGGCCCCTGACTTCATTCAAGCGGGATGTTGGCAAAGGGTCAGCGGCCTGCTCACCACCATACTGCCGCAGAAAGACGACCTCAATGGCAGAGATGACTGTGTCTGTGCATTCACACTCCACAACCCTGTGAAGGTGCCTTCACCTCGTTCGGGTCAAATTTGGGAGCCATGTTTCTCCTCGGCTGACTCGCGAGTGCACGCACGCAAAGGAAGGTGACAGAAGGCCGCCGGGGTTCACTCACCGCGCTCGAGGGGGAGGGTGGTTCTGCTACCTGCGAAGAGCCGGAGATGGCAGCAGAAGTCAGCGCGGCTCCACAAAGAAACACCTCTGCGGCAGCGCCACAAAAAAAAAAAGCGCTTTTCTACCGCCTTACTTAGCACTCTGGGAAGTGGCAGCGCGCCACTTCGCGACTGTATCTCGTACCTCAAGCTTGTTCAGCCCCGTGTGGCTGCTGGTGATGTCTTTTCACAGTTGAGAAAGAGCAGTGATCCCAGTCTCTCGGAGAGACGCTTTTCACTTCCTTGTGCCGCTTCTAGTCACTGTAGTCTTTGGCACTTCAACGTCATTCTCATTCCGTTGAAGGAAGTCTCCAGACTGATCGCATGTTTTCTTTCAACTCGCAAAAGTATAGCATGCCTTTTTGTCGCCGAGCCGCTGACCGGGCGACTTGGCTACTATGCTTGAGGCTGTGTAAACTCTCTTGTCAGTCGTGTCATTCCAGCAGAACAGCCAGCTTACTGTGACAGTACGAGGAAACCAGATGTCCTGGCATGTGATCGCATTCCACACGAAGATGCCGTACATCTCCTGCGTGTGGCAACGGCTCACTGACTGGACGTGCTGCTGGCTTGCAGAGACGATCCGAATATAACAAAAATCAGGAGGCTCATATTCAAATGAAACGTGCTCAAACGGTCCTCCTTGTTCTTGTCCTCAATCCACTTACCGACTTGGACAGGATACCTGACAGGGTCGCATCACACAAGCACACATGGGACATCTCCAACGGCTGAACCCAGCAGAAGTCAAGCATCAATATGGCGCACGCAGCTGCCCACGCATCCTCGTCTTCTGAGGAGCTGTCCACAGCATCATCCTTCAGGACCTGCTGAAACCCAGCACTCATCTTCCAGGATAACCACAACAAAGTCGGTGACGGGCTGTCACACCACCATCAAACAGAGTCTGCAGCGTCACGCTTCCCTACCTTGTTGTTCTTGTAGAAGTCCGCCACCTTCGTGAGTTCCTGTAAGGCGGCAAGCACGAATCATCCTAGACCAGTGCAGCCAGTCTGCTGCATTTTGTCGGGTCCTCCATGAGCTTGAAGCCACGCACGCCTTCCAAAGGAGGACTGTCCTGCGGCCCCGGGCAAAGAAGGCTTGGTCCCTCCTATTGGAACTGTTGCGTCCTTAATGCCAAGCTCGGCTCCGGTGCCGTCGGCTGTCGGGTCATCTCCGAGATCCTGTCTCAAAAGAATGAACCTCGCCATGGGCTTCCGCGAAACCGCGGATCGCGCCTTGCCACGCTCCTTGTTAAGCTGCAGAAGTGCCTGGAGACAGCGCAGCGAGTCTGCTAGGGCTGGTCTCCGGCCACGTGCCACTTGCGGCCTCTTTCGTGTAAGTAGCCTCTTCCCAGGCATCTCGTACAGGAATCATCATTTCCCTGAGCCGTTCCTCGACAGATAGCTCATGCAAAGCAACCAGTTGTAAGGCGAAGTGAAGCGGTTGTCCTCAACGACACCGTGGAAAATCTTTTCTGTGTCGCTGGCCTCCAGACCTATCGACACAGGTGCTGCCGACAGCAGGCACGCCCGACGGTGTGGAGCCTAGGCGGTCTCCCAGTTGGGACAACGCCTGCGGCAGTGCCACAGCTTCCGCGGTCTTTGGAGCACAACTTGCGGCTTTTGCACTCCGAGTCGGGGCGGACCTCTTGTGCTTCCTCCGACATCACACCTACACACAAGAACCACGGAGGGGACGCTCGACACCAAATGCGGGGAGGCTGTTGATCAAGTACACTAGACTGCAGAGACACACGTGTACCAGAGAGACACTTAGAATATCCGTCTGTCTGTAGCAAGCGGAACGGCCAGCATGATTTCTGCGCCGAGGTACGGAGCAGAGGTGATGGCAGGCCTTAGGCCTCCCTGGTGTCTTTGGCTTCGCAGCCTGTAATACAAATATAAACGAATTCTGCAAGCAAAACTTCACGAGGCGGGCCCATTTACAGCTCGTCGTGTGCCTCCTCCT